CCACTAAATTCCTTCTCCTTTGGGACGTATTTCTATAGAGACCATCTCTCTGTTCCATAACTAAAACTAGAAGTTGCTAGGGAACAGTCAAGCTTCTCAGGACACAACTGAAGGGCAGAGGCTGCTTCCTACCAAAAGGTATAGAAATCTTAAGCTATTTCTGACATACATGCTATTGTTATGAAATCTGGATTCTCAGCACATCTATTTCACAGAGCCCAAGAGAGAATTTATTACGCATGTTCCTGTTTATCCATACAGTATTAAATTTATGATTTAACCTGAACCTCAAAAATCTTTTCCCATTTAGCATGGTGCTGCCTCTTTTCTTTCACTTCCTCTCCAAATGTTTCATTTTACCCACTTTCATTTAACAGCATCCAAAAAATTGTTTTGCACGTTATCATGTTACTAAGTACTCATTTGAAAGATTATTCCCATCACATTATTGGTCCTATTAAAGCACTGAAAATTTCCACATGGCTTGGAGTTACTGTGTTCAGAATTTTTACATTAAAATTTTGTTACTTCTTTTAAAAACAACCTGGTGGCTTTCACAGATATTAAAATAGTCCTTAACACTCTCCACGAAGTAGTAACTACCAAAGCAGCCCACTCACTCTTTATCTTGCCTTTAAAAGAAGTTGTTACCCTTTTCCCTTTCTTATATTTCTAGCTGTGTTAGTGGCTCTATTAGCAACAACTGCAGATACAAGAAAGCCTGCTGCTGACTTAAACAAAGAGAAGAACATTTTTTTCCGCATATAACACGAACTTCAGAGTGCCAGTCCAAGATCTATTTTCTGCTCTGCCATCCATAGCTTTTTATTCTCTTGATTGACGCCTCATGATTGCTACATGGATGCAACAGCTCAAGACATCGTATCTTTTCACCAGAGTTCCAAGGATAATAGAAGAGGAAGTTTAAAAGACTCTTCATGAAACTCTGGTTTTTCATTGGAAAGCAAAGTTCCCCCAAAGTTTTCCCATTAGATCTCATGGGAAAGAACCGAGTTACATGTCTACTTCTAGACTACTCAATGGTTGGATTAGCGTACAAGTTTAGACCTTTCCTGACCCTGGGGAGGGCCTACCTACCCTGAGATTAAGGACTTACTGCTCAATCCACTGACCCAATCAGGGTTCTGACTACAGAGAGAAGGGGGCAGAAAATGGACCCTTGTGGGGTCTGGGATGCCAGGTCCTCACCCCTCTTTCCTGCTGGGATAGAAATCTATTAGAAAATACAGTAAGAAGTGACAACATAGATGTAAGCAATCAATTTTATTCATCATTCTTTAGAAAAGGCTAGCGGGGAAAACTGAGACCTCTTATCTCCCATCCTAAATCAAATCATAGAGGAACTTCAGCTTCAGACCTTAACGAAGTAATTAGCACCAGACTAGCCTTCCCAATGTACATAACTATAAAATTAGAAGTAGAAGTGGTTTCCAGACATTGGAAAACAGAAGGTATTAGACTATAATCTCAGAGAAAAGAGAAACTTACAAGGTGACACTATGATCACCCAGATCTCAGATGGAGGACAATTTCCTGAGTGTAGAGCAAGAAGCTAGAGTCCATAGTAGTTCTGCTGAGCTTGGATACAGAGATCAGAGTCTGGGTCAATTGCAGTACTAGAATCTCCAGGCCAGGGTCCTGGAAACAAAAGAGCTCTAGAAGGATGAGGGCCAGAAGTCCACAAAGGGGATCACCTACAAATCTTTGGCCAAGGTCTGGGCTGCACATACTCAGAAAGAAATGACCAAGGCTTTATAGAGAGCAGCTTTACGGGGCTGAGAGGACAACAGAGTGACCAGAGGTTAAGCAGTGCTGGTGAACATTAGAGCTACAGCTCAGCCAGAGTGAAGAGACCTGGCTAGCACTCCAGGCATCCAGCTAAGACATCAGAAATGCTGCTGCTTAGGAATAAGCACAGTGTACTAGAATAAGACCTACCATACACTTATTTCACCACAGCCCAAAAGCAAGACCTAACAAAATCCACAGGGGAGACCAAATTCAGAAGATGAATTCCACCAAGTTAGAAATAGTAGAAAAATACACTGGCCTTTCCGCAGATCCAGTCTAACAAAGTGTGAAAAATCAAACCTACACAAGTTCAAAGAAATAAATCTGCCTATTAGAAAAAAAAAAAAAAAAAAACACTGTTATTTCACAGAAGTCAGAATTTCTACCACATAGAATCCTCAATATCCAGTGTAAAATCAAAAAGTGCTAGCTATGCAAAAAAACCAAAACATAAGAACCATGGTCAATGGAAAAAAACTAGTCAATAGGAACTCATCCTGAGATGGCCTAGATGTTGAAATTAGAAGACAGAAACTTTAAAGTAGCCATATTCAATTCAGTTTGAAGACCTGAACAAAAATATGATCTGAATGAGTTAACACACAAGCAATCTCATAAGAGAAATGGAAACTAGAAAAAGAGAAATGCATATTCTAGAAATGAAAAGTCAAATAACTCAAAGTTTAAAAATCCATTGGGCGGGATTGACAACAGAATGAAGACAAAAATGGGCAAAGTTAGTGAACTTGAAGATAGATAAATAGAAATTATCAAATTTGAATATCAAAGAGAAAAGATGTCGAAGGAAAATGAACCAGTGCCTCGGAGTCTTGCAGAACAACATGAAATGATTTTAACATATGTATGACTGGCATCTCAGAAAAAGAAGAAAAAAATAAAAATAGAAAAAAATTTGAAGAAATAATGGCCAACATTTGTCCAAATTTCATCAAAAACATTAACTTATGAAGCTCAGAGAATATCAACTGGAATAAATAAAAAGAAAATCACACCTAGGTATAGCATAGACAAACTGCTGGAAACCAAGATAAAGAGAAAAATCTTGAAAGCAGCCAATGGAGGGGAAAAAAGACATGTAACATACAGGGGAACAAAGACACAATGATAACGATAACTTACATGAGAAAGACACAGAAGCTTCTTGAAATAAACTGATAAAGAGTTACCACTTTTCCAAAGGGATTTATTTCCTAATTCTGCTTTCCTAGTGATAGCCTTGGATTAATTCCAGACTTAGGACTCTGACCTATACTTCTTCCTCTAGAAAGTAAAATATAACAACATCAAGATGTTGTGGTTTTGGTCACTTGGAGATAAGATTCACTGTGGATGGAATTCCTTAGTTCCTTCCTGATTACATTTAAACAGGGAAATATAGCAAGTGTGTGTATGAGAATCAATTTTTTCAGTGATTCTAGCATTTTAAAGATTAAGTTATTCATACACAAAATAAATCACCTTATATGAGAAAGTAAAATTGATTATTTCCCAAACAAATATCATAAAAGGATTTTTAAAAACACATTTTGGTATTCGTATTCATAGTCTTATATTAAGTCTTCTATTAAGATTATAAAATAAAATCTAAAATGCAAAAAAATAAGAAAGTCTAAAGAGAAGTTATATGAAGTGCAAAAGAGTGAAATTACATTCAAATCAAAAGGGTTACTTCTAAAGTCCTATCAAAACTGTAAGATTTTTTGTGAACATAATAATATAAATGTAATTTTTAAATTGTATATCTTTCTCAATTTGATTATATTTTTAAACACACTTAGGGAAAATGCTGTGAAGACTTTCCCCCTTTTTTGGTTACCATAAGAAAAAAAAAAAGAGAGAGATAATAATTCATTAAAGTTTTGCCCATTTTGGATTTTTTGTTTTCCAGTATGATTAACCATTAAGAGTTATATAAGTGAATACAAACCAAAAGTTTTTATTTCAGTCAATGCAAAATTCTTTATCCCAGAGAAAAATTAATTTCAGTGGGTTTAACATTCTAACAAAATTTCAGCAAGAGTGTTGTTTTGCCTCAAACAAGGCCTCTCAACAGTGGTACTATTGGCATCTGGGGCTAGATCACTCTTTGTGGAGGAGGCTGTCCTGTACCTCGCTGGATGTTTCACAGCATCCTGGCCTCATATCCCCCTACCCAATGGTGACAACCAAAAATGTCTCCAAACCTTGCCTAATGTCCTCTAGGGGGCAAAATCTTCCCTGGCTAAGAAGCACTGCCATAAACAGATGGGTTTTCTTTTTCCTCTGATTTATTCATTAAAAAAAAAAAAAAGGGCGGCGGGGTGGCGGGGGATGCTTGGCTTACAACTTACATTGAAAGCAACAATGGCTTCCTAATATCTGATGCTAAATTTTGGAGAGAATTTTCTTCATTCAATGAAAAAGTTCTCCAACTTTGGAGAATGTTAGATTTTATTATTGGGTTGGATTTCAATTCTCTTTCTGTTTAGTTGGTAGGTTAGATTTCTGCTTTCCAATGTGGCAGACTTCGTACTTTTTGGATGTCTCATTCATCGCTCACTCAGCAAATGTAAGTTCACTAAGAACAACAAGCGTAAATTAGCTAAACAGAGCTGGACTGCTTTTACGAAAACACATAGCAATTATTTATAAGTCATTTGTCAGGAAAACATGACACTTCCTTCCCCTAATTGATCTAGGACAGAGTCATGAAATTTAAAAATAAAAAGACATCTTAGGCTACAAGTAGTTCTTAACAAAACTCAAATTTTAGAAAATACAGAGCTTTTAAAATATGTCATCTAAATCTAGACATCTCTTTCATCAGTTTAAAAATGTTAGTAAATGTTAATAGATATCTCTTTCTAAAATGGGACTGCTGACCAAGAGAAATGCGAAGTTTTGTTGGTGCAATTACTTTTGCGTCGACCTAATAGAAAATACTGTAACACCTACAGGTTCTGAAGGTTCTGACATTTAATTAGGTAGAGATGTGACCACAAACTTCATAATACAAGCAAAGGCACTGTTGAATCCCCTCCTCCCAAAGAAGAAAAAAAATTCCCAGAATCTGCTGTGTATATATATGTGTGAGAATTTTTTCCAGGAGAAAATACAGAATGGTAAAAATGTCAGACTAGAAACTTGTATGCTCTGAGTCACATGCAAGTCCATTCCATTTGACTCACCTATATGATAAAGTCCAATCCAATCACTGGGGTCCACCTCCTCTTTAATGTCCCAGAAGATAATGAGGTTCTGGGCTTGCCCCAGCGTGTACTCGTACATGCTGGCAGTTAAGCTGGAGCGGCTCTCAGAAGTCACCAGGTCGGTGTCGCTGTTGGCCCGCTGCAGGGTCATGTTCTCTGGCATGGAGCTCTGGGCGGCGAGGCTCTGGAGGTTCTCTGGGCTCAGCGTGTACCGCATCTGGGGATTTCGACGCCGCACAAAAAGTAGGTGCTCCCGGGCTGAACTAGCCATCCCGTCTGCCTCTCTGGGGTTGGCTGCCTACAAAGCTGCAGGAGACAGATAAACATAAAACATTAGTGCTACGACACAAAGAATTAGATTTAAGCTTTCCAGACATAAAGCCTTAAAGAGTGTTTATTAAAGCCTGACCATGTAATCTTCTGCTGTCAAAATAAAACCTATTATTCTACTGTCAACTGATGATGTCAGAAACAGCTTCTATAGAGTCAAGTCACATGATGGCAAAGGCTGCCACATGCCTGTGACCCTCGATTTCACTTGGCATAGCTTTCTCCTAGCAATCAAGGAGGAGAGGATCTCCCTGCCACCCCTTTTAGGTCTATCCTTTCCCAAACACCCCATGTTCAAACATGGCACCCTCTTCTCCTTTTCCATTCCACACACATATTTATTTGCTGCTGCAATGAAATTTTAAAACAGCAAGACACATGCTAAATACAGTTGAAGTATACCACTGAGTACAAGTTCACTTGCTCAGTTTCCTTAGCATAAGAATGTAACTCACTGAAATCTTTTCAGGAGCTTGCTCAAATGTCACCTCTTCCCTTAAATATAGTGGTCATCGCATTTAAAACTGCAGCACCCCAGCATTCCCCATCCCTCTTTTCTTGCTTTATTTTTCTCTATAGCAAGTTTTGTGATCTAATGTACCATACAATTTACTTATTTATTTGGTTATTGTCTACTTCAGTTCACAAGAATGTAAGTTTCACAAAGATAGGGATTTTCATCCATTTTGTTGGCTACTTTATCCCCAGTGTCTACAGCAGTGCCTGCTACACAGTACATGTTGATAAATATTTGTTAAATGAAGAGATGCAGGAAGAGTGAGCATCTTTCTCCTAGATACTTCTTGGCATAACTTGTATCTCCAGTCCCTTTCCTGAGCCTGCCCCTTGCCATCCTGACTTTCTGGTGAGTCCACATTATTTGGGCCATCTGGATCATGATAAGCTATTTCCTTTGGCTCCCACTTGGCCTCCGTCCAAAGGAACAAGGCCTTCCCTGTTGGAACTTAGACAGCCCCTTTTTGGCTCACTGAGACTAGTTCTAAAATACTTCCAGACACACACAGAGACTCCAGTACCTCCTGTACTTTAACGCAGTACAACTAAGGTTCTGTCTACCAGCGCCTTACCTGTTTGCCATGGGTTTATATTACCTCACTCGGATCTCACTAGCTTTACATAGAATTGATCTGATTTTCTTCTGTACCATCCCTTTCAGAACTACATAATCCACTCGTGCATTTACGGATTTAACACTTACTCCGCACTCTTAGTACCTGCCACCATCTTCATTATGCCATGTTTCATTTCAAGGTAAACCCTATTGGGTCTTCGGAAGTCAACATGAGTTTTCATTTAAAAAACAAACAAAGTAACCTTGGGTGCAATATTTACGTGACAGCTAACAACCTTGGCTACTGAGTCTGAGAGGAGGACAAGGGAAGATTGGGTTCCCTAATTTCTCCCATCCTCCCACTCAGTTCACAGACACTTTGGGTGAAGAGGACAAGCTTCTGTGCTAGGTTTATAGCACTTGCAAATGTATTTATTCAAGTAGTTTCTGCCATAAAGTGCATCTCATACTTTGAGCACTATCTCTTGAATGAAAATAACTTGGACAAGATATCCTTTGTGAAAAGGATACAAATAAAAATGAACAGATAAGCTGATTCACTCAGTTCAATGATTTTAAATCCTATATCTCTCTTCATAAAGATGTCACTTATTTTCTGTATATGGTCTATGGTAACTCTGATACCATAAAAGAATCCATAATTATTAGAAAATCTCCCATCTATGAAGCTTAAAATACAGGTCAACTTCTAATCTGATAGTTTCATGAAATTTCATTTTACTGACTTTCAACAGGCCATTATTTCTTTATAAACTCAGTGAGCCAAGCAGCACACCAGCTTCAGCAAGTACTATAAATAATTAACTCCTAACACATTGTAGTTCAATAAAAAATGCAGGCTGTCTAAACTACTTCCCTGAAAGAAAGAAATAGGTCACAACCCTTATGGCTTAAAACCACAACAGAAGAACTACTGACAATTATTTCGCTCTAGAAAAAAAATGAAATAACATGTATGTACACCCACATTACTGTTTTTAAATTATCTGTATTTAAGCAGAGAGAGAGGTTAGCACAGCAGCTAAGAGAAAAAGCTCTGAAGACCAACTTCTGGATTTAGGCTATATGTTTACTTTCTATCACTCTATGATCTTAGACAATTTATTTTAACTCTCCGTCCCTCTGTTTTCCCACCTATCCAGGAAGAACATAATAACATCTGCCTCATAGGATTTTAGAGAGAACTAAATAAATCAGTAGAGATAAAACATTTCCAACACTGTCTGGCATATAGTAAGAGCTTTGTTAAGTTTAGGTATTAATACCACTATGTGACTACATTCTATTTTAATTATATCAAGAACTGGTTTTAATATTCCCATAATTCCCATCACCCCTTCTACTTGATCAGCATCTTCAGTATTTCAAAACATAGCCCCTAACAGAAACAAAAGAGCCTTGTAGGCAGTGAGGACCTCAGATATCTCAGAGCCAAGCTTTGGCCCCTTAACACTGACAAGAGCCACTCCCTGGTCCTCAAGCCAGAGATGAAAGTTGAAATTCAACTTCATCACCAGTAGTGGGTTCTTTCGTTCATGCAGCAAATTACTGTGCTCCTCCTAAGTGAAAAGCATTAAGGATACAACAGAGCAAAAGTCAAAGTCCCTAGTTCAAAAAAGCCTGCATTCTAACAAGAAAAGACACGCAACTAAGGGCCAAAAACTGAATACATAATACATAATATATTTGTTTTCTAGTTTATACATGTCTACCATAAAGCTGCAGTGTATGCTAAACAGTAAAAAGAGTAAGGTATTTTTTTTCAATTTCTTTCTTTTCTTTTCCTAACATAGCCCTTCCCCCACGGGAACCTGGAATTTTGGGGAACAAGAGTAAATATTCATATATGAGATAATTCAAGGTATCAATGGCACTTTATATACATGTATAATTAGTCTTAACAAATATGTTGTGGGGACAATGAATGTTGTAGGGCATCTGAAACGGATAAAAATATATTTATAACGGGCTTAACCTTTTCCAAAGCACTTTCACATCGAGTATCTCGAGTAAGGCCTCAGAATATTGTGAATTAATTCCGAGAGATAACATCATTATGTCTGTTTTCATATAAGGAAATTGAGAAAGATTTGTGAGGCAAAGGTTTGGCTGAAGATGACAGAAAACATTTGGTGGCAGAGGTGATATCTGAGGTGAGCCTTAAAGAATTAGAAAAAAAAGGAAACGCATGAAGAACATTCTAATTGGAAGCATGGATACAAAGAAACTACCAAGGGAGAGTACTGGGAGGGAGGGAAGAAAAAAACAAACGTAGAGTTTCCACAGAACCCGGTGAAGATGATGAGAATTCTGCAAAAGAAACCACGCACCAGCCAGGCCCAGTGGCTCACGCCTGTAATCCCAACACTTTGGGAGGCTGAGGCAGTCAGATCACCTGAGGTCAGGAGTTCAAGACCAGACTGGCCAACATGGTAAAACTCTGTCTCTACTAAAATACAAAAATTAGCTGGGCATGGTGGAACATGCCTGTAATCCCTGCTACTCGGGAGGCTGAGGCACGAGAATCGCTTGAACCAGGGAGGTAGGGGTTGCAGCGAGCCGAGATCACACCACTGCACTCCAGACTGGGCAACAGAGTGAGACTCTGTCTCAAAAAATAAAAAGCACCAGCCTTGGAGGGGGTGGGTCACCACAGTGCCCACTGATGAATGCAAGCCCCAACGTGACACAGAAGATACTGAGGCTCCATGAGGTTAGGTCCACCCAGTGTCACAAAGCTGATGAGTCAGTCATACGCTTAAAAACAAAGTTAAAGCGGGAGAGAGAAAAATGAAAGAGAGAGAGAGAACTTCAAAGTCAAGGAAGGAAAGACTCCAAGGACAGTGTCAAATGCTGCAGGGAAAGCCTGAGGAGTGGGGAAAATTGGTGGCCAAAAGAGTTAGCATGGAGTGGTAAAAGAGGAGTAAAGAATCCAGGCTCTTCCTCAAAAGGCTAGATGGCGAAGAGAAGGAGGCATGTGGGGAGGGTGACATGGATTGAGAGAGAGTTGGGTTTGTTTGCTTTCATGTTTTGTTTTGTTTTGTGGTTTTTATTTTGTTTTGTTTTGTTTTTTTAAGATGGAGTCTTGCTCTGTCGCCCAGGCTGGAGTGCAGTGGTGCATCTCGGCTCACTGCAAACTCTGCCTCCCAGGTTCATGCCATTCTCCTGCCTCAGCCTCTCCAGTAGCTGGGACTACAGGCACCCGCCACCATGCCTGGCTAAGTTTTTATATTTTTAGTAGAGATGGGGTTTCACCATGTTAGCCAGGATGGTCTCGATCTCCGGACCTCATGATCCGCCCGCCTCGGCCTCCCAAAGTGCTGGGATTACAGGCGTAAGCCACTATGCCCGGCCTTGTTTTGTTTTTAGGATAGAAGAGATTCTGCATGTTCCTAATACCAGCATAGGAACTAAGAAAACAGGAAATATTTGCTGAATGAATAAAAACTGAGAGAAAAGGGCCAGTAAAGAGGAGAGAATGAGAGGAGACATAATACAGAGCATGGCTACTAGGCTGAACAAAAGCTGGAAGACATAGAACAGATGGAGAATTAGTCCAAACCAGCACTGTCCAACTGAAATATAACACAACCCATGGGTGTAATTTAAAATCTTCTAGTAATCACATTTTAAAAACATAAAAGAAAACAGATGAAAATTTTAATAACATTTTATTTAACTCACTATATCCAAACTTATTGTTTCAACATTAATATAAACAGTTCCTAATTTTTTTATTTCTTTTTTTAAATGCTAAGGCTTTTAAATCCAGTGTGAATTTTACACTTAAAGCACATTTCAGTTCAAACTGACCACAGCTCATGTGCTTCACAGCCACATACTGGACTGGGCAGTACAGATCTAAACCATGGAGGTGCCCCCA